ATGGATCTATTATTAATTTATTTTACATTTTAAGACAAATTGTTCCATTTCCTTAAGCCTACTATATGATTTATTGGAGGTAGATTTGTCTGTCTTAATTACCTTGCATATTTTGTAACGTAGACAATTTTAGAACTGTGTTCTCAGTCACGTGGTAAGAGAATAAACGTGCAATGTACGGTACCAAAACGCGTAGGAGACGTGAAATCAGAGCTTAACCTTGGCACTAAATAGAAGTGAGAATTGACATTCACTTTCAGACAGTGTTACACTAGGAACAGAAAACATGTAAAGAAGGTTTGGCGCTAGGAACTTTGTGGACATAATGGTTAAGAAAGAAATCTCTGCCATTGTCGAAAAATGCGTTTCTTAGGTGCTAACCTTACTTATTTTTTAAAATATCAAGAGGAGGAGAAGGTATAAGCCTGAATAGAACAGATCAGATTAGCATAGTGGTAACGGTTTTGATCCCAATTAGGAAAGGGACCAATTTGAATTTCAGATAAAACCATCTGCCCCAACTGAGATTTCTCTATAGGTAAATGCCGAAAATGTATCTTAGCTCACGCTCATAACGTGATGGTTGCGTGGCGTAATGAAGTTCGGATGACGTTGGTTATGATTATGGCCTTGCAGATACATGAAATTTAAGTCGTAGTATGGGCAAAATAGATATACCATAGATATATATTCAGAAAAATGTTTGTAACATATATTTTTAAATTTGTAATCAATTTATATAATTCCTTCGAGTTAACAAAACCAATTAGTATACCTAGGGTTTAACAGGAGGTGTAGGAAGAACTAATAAATATTCCGTAAATAGCTTCAAATTTCTTGGATAAGGTTTGTCATTAACGTACCTCAAAGTTACCAAACATAACCTCAAAGATTCACGCAGTCGTCATATTCCTAATTAAACAAATAATTATTCTTAAAATTTGTATGGTCTGTGTCGATTCCAAATTTCATACTCCTAGTTGCAACTTGTTCGACAACTCTTGTCTTAAAATTGATAGCACTGTAGGCTATATTTTTCTACAATCTACAAAGAGGAAAAAATCTTATTATAAATTGTATGTTAATCGAAGACGCAGTTATCACACAAAATTTGGTACCCTACATTACGTATGGTTGTTGTTGTTGTTGTTTATCAGACGAAGAAAACAAGAAAAGCATTAACACAAGAGCACGCTGTTGGCTATTACGATGACCTTTGTTATATCACAATCTTCTTGTTGCAAATAGAGATCTACCTTCGAAACAAAACGGATGAAAATCGATTTATCGAAGTAACGGGTCGAGTTTTTATTGTGCTTAGCGAAGGGTCGATATTCCCCTGAGAGTAGTAGAAGATAATACGACTGACGGACCCCTTAGGGTCTCAGTGCTTTCTGTAGAAGATTTAAATCGTACAGTGCATTCACAGTCAACAATAACGCAAAAATAACTTTACGACGTAATATATGATGCCTTTATATAAAATGAAGGCTTATTGGAAAGACAACAGTGCATCCATCTTAATTTTCGATTCACCAAATCATTTAAAAGATTTCGAATAAAAGTGGTATAACTATCTTGGATGGAATGAATTCACAGTGGCATTTAAAAATTCTGTATAATGTTTACTTTATACGAAGCTCAACTAGAATTTTATCAAATTAGGTGACCTGTAAAACTTTTGAATTTCCGAGTTTGGTCCGTTATCTAAAGCTGCCTAATTAATTCATTGTGAATTTCATGAGTAAAAGGATAATTAATTTATTAAGTACTTTATGTCTACATAAAATACATTTCCACTCTTGGCTACGTTTTTCAACAACAGACTTTATTGCTTTCAGTCAGTGTAAATCATTAATTTGTGCCTTCAACAAATGAGCATTAGGACAATGAGGGGTGGAAATGACAAAATACGTACATTCTTTGCTTTATATCTCACATTGTCGTAATCATAACTTTCGTTACCGTCGTGTTGTAAGATCGTAAAAAGGCATGGTGACTGTACCTGGTCTATGGTTCACAGTGTGGCTAGGTCCCCTGTAAAGTCCACACTGTCCATTGATAAGCCTCCTAAGTAGAACTGCTGTTTCCGTTCTATCGATATAAAGTCAAAAGTATAAAAAGACTTAAGCTTAAGAATTATACTCCAAGAGGTTGAAAAGTTCAGAGTTTGCAAAATAACAGGAAAATGGGCGGCTAGATATATTTTATTATTTTATTTATATAGAAAGGCTGATGTAGGGTCCGGTCGGAATATCAGCGTACGAAAGCAAAACCAAAAATATCAGAATTTTTTTAATTATAATAATTAGCAAGCCATTAAAGCACAGTGGCATATCACCCGCTTTAACAATCAGTAATTCTGTGTTTTGCCAACAAAATATATTCATCAGTTTCATTTGATTCTCAATTTAAACAACGATTATTTCTTTAAACAACATTAACCACTTGATCTTTGTGATGGTTATGGGTTGTGTTTTATTTGACGTAAGGACTGAATGCTTTAATGTTATTACGACGAGATTTTTCTTCGCAGGGTGTAAGAAGACAACACAACAGGTGCTTTTACATCAGAATAATATGTGATTCATTACGAAGTGCAGAGACATTTAGTATTAATGTTAGTGTTAAGAAAAATAACTCAAGAGGGTGATGTAGTAGGAAGTTCGAGAAAATTACACAATGAACTCCATATTTTATTCATTTCTCCATTGTTTGGAATATATTGGCCTAGCAAGTAGCATGCATGGTGTAAACGAAAACTTAAAACCAAATTTTGATTGAGAAACTTTGTAGGAAGTTCTGAGCGTAGACAGGAATATAATATTAAAATAGATATTAAGTAAATGGAGTGGGTTGAATGGACTAGCCTGGCTTAAGAAAAGGTCCGATGGCAGACATTCATGAGTACTGTAATAAATCTTCGAATTTTCAGGCTCTGTTAAAGGTGGGAAATTTCTAGACATTCTGAACGACTATCAGTTTTTCAAGGATTGTGTTCCATGAAATTAGTTTCTTTAGTTGAGATGAAGAAATTGTATGATTCTAAGGATCTGAAATTTCAGAGCACATTATATTTACAAGTAGCATTACATTTTTTAAAACATTCGGAGAAGTTCACCCTGGGATTGTGTCCTCTTAAGAGAAGGTCTCAACAATTTCCAGTCTATGGGCTGTCAGCACGGACATGATCCCAAAGTAGATTTGAAGCAAGAGACCGGTCAAGAGGTTGCTAAGCTTCTCTATATGCAAGCAACCATGGGATTGCTATCGAACTCAGCAGAACTAAGCTTATCAGAGTTTTGAGTGGGTAAAAAGGACAGTGGTACATCTTACCAACAAAGCGGACCAGGTATAACTTTAAACTGCTGAAGAGAATATTTGTGTCTTGAACAGATGAAATGGAGAAAAATACATAACGACTATCTTCTTAATTTGTATTCGATATTTTAATATGATTAAATAAGATATGTAATTGGTGAGACGGTTAGTATACGAGTTAGAAATGTGATGTAAAAGTTATTACAAAGTATATATTAGGAGAAATTCTGAAGTTAAAATATAATTTTGGAGAATAATACAAAAATCAATCTTATAAACATAGGTGTAAGACTAGATTTAATTGTAAGAGGATAAATTTTGTTACTACATTTTGTAAAAACAGAAATAAAATATAAGGCTCTATAGAACAAAAGAATATGTAAACTAAGTAACTATTTGATTTATAAAATTTTATTTTGTCCACACTCTTACGGTATTATTTTTGACTTATGGACATTATTGTCGTGTTATTTGTAGAGCCTAATGTATTTACCACTTATTATTAGCGTATTTTCTTCGTTGTTTTCTAATTTCCAGCACTTCAATAAACTAACTGATTTACCATCTGCAGTATTATTGTAATGTTTGTCTAACACTCTGTATTACATTCTATAACCAAATTAATTGATTTACATGTTTAAAAAAAAATATTTTATTTAGAACTTTTCTAATATGTCGTTTGTAAAACCAAAAGTGAATATAATGTTGTGTTGCTACATGATGCACTGTTGTTTTTATTGTTTAATTGTTGCTTTGTATGGATATGACACTTGGTATCTCATATCAAGGCAAGATGACAAATTGAGTGCGATTTGAAACAAGTTTCTTAGGAAAATATTTGGCAATGTGAGAGATGAAGAAACAGAAGTTTAGAGGAAATTGCACCCTGAGGGGCTTCATAATTTGTGCTTTCCTCCAAACATTATTAGGATTACAAGGGATGGGATTAGCTGGGCATGTAGCTCGCATCACTAAATGAAAAATGCATTTAAGGCTCTTGTTGGAAAACCTGGAGGTAAGAGACTACTTAGAAGAACAATGTGCAGATGGGAGTATAATATTAAATGGGTTCTTAGGTATGTATGATTGGAGGAAATGAATCGACTTCATCTCACTCAGGATAGGAAACGTGGCGGGCTGTAGAAAATATGGTAATAAGCTTTCGTGTTACATAAAAACCGGGAAATTTCTTAAATATATAAGCATACTATTTATTAGCTTCTGAAGAAGGGCTTTGCTCCATAAATTTATTATTAGTATTATTGCATAATTTATTATTTTCTTCTTACTTGCCTTTTGGCGTATCTGTAATTGACTGTTTGGCTGTTGACGCAACACACTAAACTACAGAATTAAAATTACATTAAATTATTGCCTATACGTTTAGTCTTATTTAACTTTTCGCCATATAACCTCAACAATCGACATAACACCATTAAACAAATTATAAATCTCTTTGATTAATATAACAAAGCAGTGATTTTTAACAACTATAAATGTTTAAATATTATTACAAATCTTTTATAATGCAAAACAATTTGAATATCAATATTTTATCCCTTTGCCAGTTTCATGTTCAGAATTTCAAATAAACTTTAGTTTAAGTTTATAGGAAGTTAAACACTTCCTAAATAAGCGTTGGGGTGGTAGAGGGGACTTGTAATTCTGTGCATACAAACCAGAGTGATGATTCAATTACGCAAAGTCACTCTCAACTCTGATGCGTTCAAATTGCCCTTATGCTTTCTCTTTGATAGCTGTATACCAACATAGCGGTCCAAAGTCTGAAACTAGTAGCCTGCCTATTAGTTAAGTCCGTCCCTTGAAGTGGTAAGGAGCTGAAGTCCACCGTCTCTGTCAGGTGGTGGTCTTTTGATATGTCTCATCGTTCTTCGCCAGAATTATCCTCCTCACTGCAACAAGCGATCAACTCCGAGTGAAACGCCATCATCATCTCTCTTGGGGTGTTTGGACGCGTGTGTGCTACGCTAATTCTGTGTCACGCTGAAGTGGAGCACTCTACCATATCGGCGTACGTAACTATTACGTATTGTGTTTTGATATTTAATGTTTATTAGACTTGGTTCTCAGTACGAAGGACTGTCAGCCTAGAATCAGTATTTGCGGTCCGCAGCTCTAATATGACTAACTTTAACAATATTGCCATCTTTCTACAAAATATCTAATCTTGCAATTGGAATTCTACTCCCCCTTCCCATTTACAATTATATATTAATATTATTAAATTTATTCTCCCATTTATGTGTATTTCTCAACATTCCTTAATTCTACAACACTAGTACAATTTATTATTCTCTTACAAGCTACCTCTTTATTAATAAAAATACATTTTATGTTAAAAATGTTTTCCTCCATTTTATTGTTTCGGAATATTTTAATAGAATATGTAGACTATCTACTTCCTTGCTACATAGAAATCATCTAAATCCTCTCCTCATCCCTCTCAGTTTCAAAATACCAATCGTAAACCACGCTAATCCAGTTCTCCATTTCTTGTACAGCTTATTATACACTCTTACCCAGCCAACTACAATTTCACAAAAAAATATTAAGGATTTATTTTCTCTTATATTTTAAAACAAATTCTATCTTTCTTTTCTTTTCTTTTCTTTTGCATGTCCCTTTCGCACAATTCTTCTCTCGGTTTTTCCAAATACATCAGAAACCTATTATGTCTAATTTTGTCTTAGTTTTATCTCTCGTGTTCCAAATTTTAAATTGCGTATCCTCCCCTCTTACAAGTTCTTTCTTGTTCATCTGCAGAATTCTTAACTATTATTTTACAACGAAGTACGAAGCCATGCTCCTCCTACCACCTCTTACAATTTCCACCCGACAACCACATTCGTTGCAAATGTTAGTACCCTTAACACTTTTTTAGAAAATCTCCCCTGAAGTACATTAGTCCCTTTCCACTCCCACTCCCTCTAACCTCCGCATCTCCCACTCATATATTAGTATAGATTCACATACCAACTCATACATTTTCTAAAATCTTCATCCTATCAGTATTTATGTTAAACACTTCTCAGTAGTTAGCAAAATCCGATTTCGTTTTGTTACCAAACATCCAATGTGTAGATTGTGCGGCTACTAAATGTGATGTCCGTAAGTAAATTATTGTTTGTACAGACAAACGCAACCCCTTACTGGGGTTATGACAAATAAACTCTAAGGATAAACACGTAAAGCACAAATAAAAATAATAATGCGAATCGCATCAACTATTGCTCAAGGTCTTATTAAAAGTCTAATACAAAGTACTTTATATTAAGGATCATTGAGGTGTACAAAAAACCTCACAGCAAGAGGTGAGTTGGCTCGTTATTGCATCGGGGTCTAAGGAGCTGTTTGATTGCTCATTAGCGAGCCGACACACATGTATCAAGATCAACATTTGGACACAACAAGTACCCTACTTGCTAAATTGGCTTCGAAGGGGAGGCATGATTTTCCGAACCTTTGATGACGCTAGTATGCGAAATGAAGAGGTAACAGACAGCCGTGGAAGGGGCTCTTAAAACGAAGAACATGAGCAGAAAGCTGCAGGCCAGTCCACTCTCTTAACTGTCTTATAAGTTAGTGTATGAAGACGATAATGGAATTCATACTTTGTAAATTGAGAATCGGAGAGTAAAATGCAATATCGATGTAAGGCCTTATTTTAACACACTACTGATAATACAGGAATACTATTTAGCAATAGAAGCTCTACAAACCATAAAATGTACAGTAGCTTAAGCGATAAAACAACCATTTTTCTTTCATAATACTTCGCCTTCACATCTCTTCATTTATCTCTGTCCCTTTCTCCTCATCCATCTGCTCCTCTTTCTCCTTTATCTCCGCCTTCATGTATTTTCATTCTTCTTTTTCTCCTTCTTAAATTTGGCTTCAAATATCTTCTTATTTATGAAGTTTCAGTTTTATGATTTTTCTTTCTCTTCTTTTTATTTGATTCTGGTTTATTATCCTCTTATTCTACTTGACTTCTTTCTAGGAATTTTTGTTTTACTTCTCTTCCGTGTCCGTCTTAAAATTCATACAATTTCCTTTCGTTTCTCTTTTTCTCGTTCATGGGATTCGATTACACATTTCTTTCTCTTCCATATTCCCCTTCGTCACGAAATTCTGCTTTCATATCCCTTCCTTCTCCCTTCTGTGCCACTTCTTCGTCATAGTTTAAAAAGGACAATTTTATGAATTTCACATTCTTTCATTCACAATAAAATTTGTAATCAATTTTCTTTAGAATAATATTTCCTCATACAGAAAATTAGAAACGTACTCGTCGTGAATGACATTAAAATAACAAGTACTGAAGAGTTTATGTTGTAGCATAATTATGTTGCATCAAATTCTTCAACAGACATAGTTTAGGTTGTGTCTACAACAACCATAAATAGTGATTAAAAATACGATCACCAACCAACATATATTTTAGCATATATCCGTATGCTACACATTGTATTCATTGATCAGTTTCTAATACATTCAAAACTCTCTGAATCTATGCTATTCTGTCAATACTCAATCTCCTAATAACACGTGGACCAGTAGAGAAAAAAATAAAAGAATAATTCAAACAGATGTTCATGAATTTCGATGAAATGTGTATGTATAAACATAAGACAGCTAGGTAAGAGTCAATAAAATCTTATTTTGAAGAGATACGCTTGTGTGTTTTACATTGCCAGCTGTACATTAGTGATTTAATTTACTGTGATGGGAAAACACATTTTATTTAAAAGCGTAACAAAGTAGCATATACAAATTAAAATTAAGGAATGGTGTACATCAAAAAAATGTATATCATTATTTATATTTGCGTAATTAAAAATTAGGCTAAAATACGATTTCATTTACTGCAATCTTAATTGCGCTACGTTGTACAATATTCGTATAACAAGATTCTCTTATTGACGTTACTATGACAACGGCTATAATACTATCCCATAAAGCCCAAAAAATCTTATCAGCAAATGAGCATCTTACCATGGCAACGGTAATAACAACACACACGTTCATAAATATTATCACATAAGGCCCAAAAGCCCTTAACAACAGGAAAGGTTACCAACCAGCGTCGCTTATTCTTTAGGTACGTAGGTAGAATAAGCCTATGTAAACTTACTGTTTCAAAATCTTATGCCGTAATCAGACTTATAGCAGCTCAGCAGATCAAAGCATCAGATATTTTATAGAAAATTAAGTAGCCACAGACAACCTGTTTATATTCGGTAACAACCCCAATCATATTAGCCGTTCTGAGAATTTGACCCAGGCTGAAACATGTCCTCGTCTCTTGTGGTTCTCGATAAGCAGGTTTATGCACTTCGAATTAATGTGGGCGACAAGTAAATTAGAGACTTACTCTATCTACAGCCATCAAACTAATGGATGACCAACAATTTTAGAAGAACGTAATCCTATTAAGAACTTCTTTCAATACGATAGACCAGAAGTGTTTCAATTCCATCAGGTAAGTGAAATACTGCGGAGAGGTTCTAAAGTCCTTATATTCTAGCACGCGGATAGCAGAACATTGAAGTAGGAATACAAAGAACCACTATATTTGTCTTTTTGAAGTTTCGTAAGTACATTTACTGTATTTCAGAATAATTGCTAGGTCACCTTATAGTTGAGTAGCCGTGTATCTGAGAGAGTTTATATGGCTGGATAATCGGGTTTATTTCTCTTTACCAATGCGTTCAGGTCCAGTCTTTTATTAAGTCGGTTCTGGAGCCAATTTCCCTGGGAGTAACGCGGCCGAGGCGTGAAGGTGACCACTCAGCTCCATCTAGTGTCAAGATTAAGAACGAGTGAATTTATACTTCCATTCCTCTATACACATTCATGACGCGGTGCTTAATTAAGTGCACGAACATATTAAAGTTTTTTACTTTTGTATGTAAATGTGTGGGCCCTAATTTAAATGTTGCATACTTTAGAGGTCCTGCTGTTCATTTATTTCACATATGAAATTCTTGTACTAAAGCTAACCGTGTTATAGGTATGGCATTACAGAGTCAGAAATTATTTTCTTTGTTGTTCGTGAAATATTTGCCATAATAAAATTATTTGTTTAGTATACAATCTAAATAAGTGGGCTATAATTTGATACATGCAAAGTTTTTGTGACAATAATTTGTCTTTTATAAAATTTATTACACAATTTCAAGTTGGGTTTCATATTGAACAGGTAAGGAATCAAAATTAAACTCGCTAGGTAATGATCAGAGTAGATCTCCCCGACATAATATTTAAATTAAATCTCGAAGTATTCTCGGTATTGAAACATGCTCAGAAAAAGATTAATATTGCTTCCTCTGTATCTGTTCACTTCTTTTCCTTCAAATAAAAAACATACAATAACTGGCTTTAATCCGTCTTAATTAGCTACTACTGTAAAATTTAGCATCTCACTCCATCCACTGATTTAAAAACGGAATTCCCAGCCTCTTAACAGCATCACAAAAGCCTTTCACTGAATTCCATCCTCAGCTACACAAACAAAATCCATAAAATCGCTTCCTTCTTTCTTAAGAACCTTCTTAAATTATTCTCCCATCTGGGCTTAAATGTCCAGGCAGAATTTCATATTAAAATTTTGAAGGTATTTCTCATTTCTATATGCGAGCTACAGGCACTTCCATATAATCTTCCTTGATTTTATCATCTTAATTTGGCAATGTAATTCTTCATCTTAATTTAAACACAAGAACAAACGAAATATATTGTCATAAATCTCCCGTACTGTCAGAACTAAGCGAACAAACATTAATTTAATTCTGACATCATTATGATAGTAAACTTCTCAATCGCCATATTTAAAAAAATTGATATTCGAAATTGTTATATCGAGGGGATGTTGGCGTCAGCATAAAACCATCTGTTCATTAGGCTTTTGCCGCCGGATTTTAATGTGTAACTTCATTGTTGTGATGTGTTTCGGTCTAATACAGCCCCTGGTTCTAGACAAATATCAAACTGAATTTTACGTATCCTAAAATAATGATAAAAATTTAATATATCTGATAAAAAATCTACATTTTCGATATTAGTAATATTTAACTAAATGATGTTGATAAATGTGATAAGTATGATTCCTGTCTCAGTCTTGTACAAATGAATTTAATCATAAAACAACATGGAAATAATTTGGCAAAAATTTGGAACAGGAATGCAGTTCTCCTTTGCAGTCTTGTTTCTTGTAGAATAGCCAGTTAACACCACCAAAAAAATTTTCTTGTGACCATCATTTTATCTAGAATGTGTACAGTTAACTTATTAAATTATCATTAAAACTATTTGATAATTAATACATTATTATTAATACAGAGGGTAGCAACTCGCATCATAACAGAACTGAAAGAAAATTTATATTTCAAGGGCAATCAACCTTTTAGGCAGGTGGGCCACTTTGAAGGATACAATGTGCTACGAGGACCGGATCATTCAAATATCTGTCGTAATTAACACAGAACTGAGCATTACAATAATAACAGCCACACCTTACCTTATTTATGTTAAATTTTGGACTGTGTTTGGTCCGTAATAAAATTAACTTTGGTTCCGTTTTTCAATGCCAAATTTATACCAATTCACATCGCATCGTGTAAGTACACATTGGTATTCTTGAATGGTACTTCGATTTATTTTATAAGGGAAAAGGTTTGTTTACATGTATATGTGCTACCAAATACTGTCCACTTTTCTTTAAAAATTCTATATTCAGAACCAACTTTACTCTTTTTAGATAAAGATAATATGCAAGGTGTTTTTGTACTATTTTTTTTTATTTATCCCAGCTTTCTTCATTGTAGATAACCCAAAGTAACTAATACTAGAAAAACCTGCTCAATACTTACACTTAGAACACGCCAAAGATCAGATTTCGTACAAACTTCCTAAATAACGGTATTTATGTCAGACATGTAACTGTCGCATTTTATACAAAAGCAAACAAACGTAAATTCAGTAGTGTCAACAAAACACATTAGTAAAACCTTAACACCTACTACAGTCTGCATGAAAATTTTCCACAGTCATCCACTCCGTCCTGTAACAGACATGACACACACATCTCGTTCACGAGAGCTGGCCGATATTTGATAAATACAACTCAAGTTTCGAAGCAATGCTCAGTTCGCACGCGTTCTGGCACAAACTTTTAAGATCATTGCCAACACTAAGTACTGCAAGCTTGTTAGAGAATTAGTACACGAAGATCTCCTCCCTAACCTGCGTAGCACATATAGAATATTTAATATTATTTGTCGAGTGTTTCGATCAGTCCTTTGACGTAACTTTCCGCTATCTCAGCCATCTGTTTATAGTGACTATTGTTGACACCACATTTCTACCAAATAGTGAACTCACTAATAAACAAAATCAAACTAATTGAAACCACAATATTAAACAAATTCCGTGATAATAAATTGTGGGGTCTGTAGTGTTTCCCCCGATTTGCCGTGCCTTAGGAACGATCTGCGGGCCACAGGTTGTCACTACTCTAATAGTCCCACCTTAGTTATTCTTGAGCAGGTATAACGAAATTCCAAGGGAAATCAAGGCATCTGAAACTCCCGTGTCATCTAGTGGGGCTTCTAGGTACTGATATGTCAATATTATACAGGCTCAGAGGTCTTGAAATCCCTGTCGATCAAACAGCTACATACTTGATCGGAGTTTTAGTGTCCTTGTAACCAACATAACCATGCAGATGATAAGATGTGATTTGAGACTCTCAGGGCGGTGAAAATGCGAATGATCCGTATTGTAACACCATGTAGTCTTGCGGACTTATCGCCACAAAACTGGTTTTTGACAAGATAGAATATTCTTACCTCCCTACCCAAGTCCCTCAAGCTAAAATACTATCATAGCTGAAGTTTCCGTGGTTTCATTCAGTCTGTACAAGAAAATGACAATACCTTCAAACAGGTCACGACCGCCTTTTTGCAAATCCCTTCCGTGCGTCCCATGCAGTTGAGACGAAGTTATAAACTAAGAACAAAGCAAGTCTGAAGGTTTCTGACAATGTTGCGTTACAATCTGTAAACGCGTATCACCTGATAGGGTTTCTGTCCTCTTCCCTTGTTTACCTGAAGACTAACCAAAGTGGCATAATACTTCGTACACACGTGTTGTTTATAAAACTCGCTGTGAGGATGAAGTGGCGAAGGGGACTGCCAGAGCTATCTGGTAGCTCGTTCCTTGGTTTCGTCAAACACCAAGCGTCCTTGTGTCACGTCGGGCAGTAATTCTTGTTCGTTTGTTCACTTGCTACTCTCCAAGCAAAATTAATTGGCAGTCAAGAACACACACTGGTACTAACAACAAGCGCCGTGGTGTGGTGTAGTAACTTGCAATTAAGCTAAGTACATTGGCGGTCCACTGATACCGTCTCGGACGAATTATTTATAAAGACTTCTTTGCACTAAACTAAAGGCATTTACGGTGCCATGTCTCATCAATAGCAGGCAAAGAGGAGACGAAAAATTCGTACAAAATTTTAGTCGATAAACTTGAAATGGAAAGACTAATCAGGAGTCTGAGACGTAGGGGGATGGAAGATAATATTAAAATTTATCTTAAATAAATTTGAGTTTGGACTGGGTTAAGCTGTTTTTGGATAAGGACTTATTATCCATTCAAAGGTCTCCATAATCATTTCTTCCTACGGCATTTCCAGGGCAAAATTATGTTTACATTTCTTATTTTCCTCATACATGCTGCATGCCTCGCCAATCTTAACCTTCTCGGTTTAATTCCATATTACGTTTTGAGTACACATTTTAAAACGTGTGGAGCTATGCTTTGGAATTTTTAACAACGCTGTTTAAAGTACAGATATTACTAGTTTAAAAAATTAATGATGAGTAGGTGTGGATTTGGAAGGATGGAGCCATGGTCTTCCTAAGGTATTATGCTGCCGTACGGCTGGAGGGAAGGAAACCTAAGATAGGGGTAACCAGCATCACAGCCGATATTCACACTGAATAAAATTCTGTAGCTTTACTGCCGCACTAAACAAATGTTTAGTCCTGGAAAACTATCACATTGTTTTTGTTTGCATTAAAAGATTTCAGCGATTTCTCAAACAAATGAATATCGAATTTCGAACTGGCGACTGTCGTGTTTGTATGGTGGCGTTGGTGGCGGGAGGTGAGGGTTGAGGAGAGAACGTGTTAGAGACATAGGTTCTGACGCGTCAACCCAGCTTTAAATTCCACTCACTACTGTAGTCCGTGTACACACACACAATGAGAATACCCCCTTATCATCATGTGCCCACTTACTTATTTAAACTTCTTTATTTCTTCGCACAGTCTGCACCAGTTTGCCAGATCAGCTTCACTCTGTGCCCTGAAGCCGAGAGTATTTGCAGACCTTCGAGACTATTTAATATTTTTGTTCTGTGAAGTGATCTCAAGAAAAGTAGTGAAGTATTTAAATACATTAATATTATATTGCTTTTCTAATGGAGTAAAATATCAGGAGACGAGATACAAAACTTGGTAAGTTTAAAAAAAGTTTTCTAAACGCTTTCTTTTGGATTTTTGTAGGCTACCTGATTGATCTTTGTGTTTATTTCAGGTAAAAATCTATAGTAAAATATTTAGTACTCTGTAGATATACTGAAGTGGCCCGAAATTATCGTTTCTTGTATTTTGTTAAATATTCATTGTGTCGAATCATACTGTAATTGAAAGTTTTAAACATTTATAAAATACATTTTATGTTCTGCTTAAATTCTCTGTGTGAGACAACTTTTAGAAAAACAGTTGCGTTAAATTTCAGCTTTATGTGAAACAGAAGCTCTGTTAAATTAATGTAAAGCAGAATTAAAATATTGCAACTTTTAGAAGAGATCCCTATTCAAGAATGCATTCCAATCCATTCAGTGAATCTAGATGTACAGACCAACATGCCTACGGATGGAGGGACACGACCTTATTACATTATTTATTAATTTAAATCACAGTAATGCACAATAATGTTACGTCCTCATGCCATGAGAATAATTTCGTACACATGACATATTAAACATGTCTATATGATGTAGTAATATTCATGCTTCATAATAACTAAGATTGTATAAGAAAGGATGCATTCCTTTTACACATAAAATGAGTCTTCTGAGTTTATATGTTCAACGCTCTATTATAGCATAATATAGATATTACTTACATAGCATTGTTATTCAATATAGAATATTTAATAGGTCTCTTATTTTATCGATATTAGTTACATCTGTTCAAATCTAACAGGGACAATACATATGTTGTGAGTAAAACAATTTTGTATGCATTTCTTATCTCCCCTTACGTGTTACAAGTCCCGACTATCCAATATTTCTCGGTATTAACACGGTAATTATATTAGGCTGAAAATCAAATTAGAGATGACAATAAATATTGGTTTCTGTAAGTGAACTAAAGAAGGGTCTCTTTTTTAAAACACAGAATTTAGGTTTGCGAAATTATTATGACGGAAGGAACATTGTTCACTTAGGATAGCTACAAGATGGACAGTCAGCCAGCAATCTACCTTCAGCAAGAAACAAGGACAGTTTTGCCAAAAAGCACAATGCAAAACGGATCCAGTTCTGAAGTGAATTGCAAGAGTCACCAATTTCCAGTCAGCAAAAACCATGTGTCCAGTGCTTGTCCGAACCTGGTCAAAGTGAGTGAGGTGGACAGTAACAATACGAAGCAAATGGGGCCTAGTGGAGTTCAGGAAGAATTTCAGCCCCTTGAAGTGGAGACAGAGCAGGTGCTATTTTCCGTACATGCCCTAATACCAACACCTATTGCTTCCATGTATAATCTCCCGAAACGTTCGACGCGAACAAGTTAAATATGCTATCTATGCTTCTATATGCCTAATGAATATGAATGCTTTGGTTCGGTGTAGCATTACTTTTGTAAGTAGATTTGTTACGCACAAATTATTTTCTGTTTTATATAAATATTCACTTCGTACATTTATCTCCATTAGGGATTTTAACATATGAAAATAGAAATATTTTAAGTATAAACACTTCCGGTATTGCACATGGGATTATTGTCTCAAATATTTATAAGAAACGAACAGAATTGGACGTTAATGAAAGTAATGTGCTATCATTTTCCGGTGTTATTTGAAGGTAAGGAAGTCTATATTTCAGGCAAGAGAGTATTCACTGAATCTTACATTTAAGAAATGGATTAATATATTGCAATTCTTTCGTTTCGCAGAAATGTGTTAAATTCTCAATTCGTAACATCCTACGTGCGTTTAACCTTCAAGACAACGTAGATATCAGCTATTTGTCTTTAGGTATAGGCCTATTTCGGAACTAAATAAAAGCTAGGTGTCTTGTATTAATATATTAACTGATATGCTACATGGACTTTGATTCCCAAATGCAATTTATCAAACGTAAAATAAAGTCCAAGGCCGGAAAGATGAAGGATACTCCATTTATCAAATAGTAGAGAGTCCAAAAAATACCTCTGTTACACTGCCTGTGATATTAATCAAATTTGTAAACATTTTAAATAAAATTTCAGTGTCGTCTTATTAACTTCGAAACACGGTATATTAATGAGGCCTGTCTTTTATGCCACGTACTGATTTTTATATGGTTAACTGTTTTTTAGAAACAAATCAATTTCAACTTTGGCTACATGTGAAGTACGCTTATTAATGGACCCATATGAATCTCACATTTGCCAATTAACTCTTAGTATGGACCCCAGTAACTAATTTAAAGGAGACCCGTGGAGTAGATTCGAATATGAAATACCCGGACAAACAGATGGTGTAACAACAACTTCATTAAGTGTTTATTTTATATGCTTTATGGATGCGTTCTTCAATGTTACACTGGCATCGATGTTCATTTATTGCAGTTACATATTTCTTCTTTCAGCTAATCATGATACGTATAATTGGACTTCTTAATTTTGAGTACAATTTAAAAATTATTACTGTATCAATTTTGGAAGTAAGTGCTGTGTACAATGATGTTGTTTAAGAGACCAGTACTTACTTTTAGTCGAGCAACAATTTCTTATTTAGTAATTTTTCATTTCTCTACAATTTTTGCTTTTTAGTTAAAATACCAGTACTTTTCGTTCATTTGTGATCTACAAGATACCTGAAACATTCAATTACTTTTATTTATTTCCGTCAAATGTATACAATACCAAAAATTGTTTTAAATTAAAGTAAAACTCCGTGTTTTGACATGTACTACTTTTCTGTATGATGAGTCGCAAGAAAATTATTAATAATCTAATTGTGCTTCATATAAAGTAAGGAATAGACAACATTTAGATTTAGTCCCAGAAAACAAAAATTGAATTAAAACTGACTAAATGGTTCAAAGACAAAAGAGACATTATCACCTATTATGCGTTTATTTTTAGCATTTATTATGTAATAAATGAGTGAATTTTTCTTTTCTGTAACCACGAATATCTGTAACATGTCTTTGGTCAACATTAAAATAGCGCGTAAGTTTTACGACAAAACATGTGTTCTTACTTAGCAGGATCAAAATCCAGACCAGCCACTGAAAAGACCGGACGGCTGGGAGGAGTTCGAGCACGACACGAAGTGTGGTATAGGAGGGTACGAGCCACAGTGGCTCCAGAAATTAGCAAGCAAGAAGAGCTATGTTCTTATGTACGGTCTCATTGGGATGTTCCACTTAATCATTGGCTCTTACTTTGTGGCCACCATCAGCACAATAGAGAAAAGGTTCAAAATACCAAGCAGGACCTCTGGTAATGATTCACTGCATGTTCATTATCTTTGTCATCATTTTTTTAAATTTCTAACATCACATATCCTAATAACTGCCAGGCGTCTTAATCGTCGTTAACACCTACATCTTCATTGTGCAGAGTGGTCGTTATGATATAAGCAGAAGCAAGCACATTGCATGGGCAGACTTCTGTCATTCTCCAAAGGATTCGAACTTACCAGAGACAGGAGTCTGAACAGTGCTTTTCAACAATAAAATCACTACTGTTTTGTTGGGTAGTAGAAGCCATTATGCATTTATGTCTAGTGTAGAGGTTCCCAAACTTTTATACCTTGCGCCCCCCTTAAAACATTTCATAAATTTCACGCCCCCCCTTCCAGAACAAGTGCAAGCAAACAGATTTAACATAAAATTTAGCTATGAGTATACAGCACTGTAAGACAACTAAACTGCCTCAACCAAGCAAAGGATGTTAAACATGTTTCTCCATATTTCGTTAAAAAAAGTTTTTCATACAAACACCACTCCCCCCTCCCCAAGAGGGCGCGCCCCACACTTTGGGAACCACTGGTCTGGTGACTCGAAATAAACGCCATTGCATAAATGTTGTGTGAATTAACACCAGCAAAGTTTCCAAAGTACCCTGATAACGTATGTCACCTGTTCATCACTTTCATCTAGTGTCGAGTTCCCCAAATTGTTGCAGGACAACACACATACCGATCCCCATCAAATAAACTTTAGCGGTGGACACAATCAAATAAAAACTATTAAATAATTCCGTTGTTAGGAACTATTGAATGATTCGAATATTTATAAAACAATCGAATCATTTTAGTCGGGCAGCAAATAATTTTATTAACTTATTAATTCGGAAGACAGTCAAAGAACACGTGGGATCCTTCTATTATTGTCCGGACGTCTGTTTCATTACAATTGGGGGGGTGGACATATTTATTTATTTTATTTTTATATTACACCTAACATGTGAACACAGTGTACGCCTAATAGAGACGGAATAAATTGCAAAAGCAAACACCAAGCATTATAATTTAAATACGACTATAGAAAGAAAGAATAATTACGAAATGTGCAAAAAATGAGATGGTTTCTGAGAAATTATCTCATTAGTTGACAGGTTTGAATTACGTAGATAGCGTGTAGTCGAATATTTCCATTCGATTGTTATTCGAATGCTTTCATTCGATTGCCGCTATTCGAATAAAAATCGAATAAATCGATAGTACAAACCATCATTCTATTGTGCCCATCACTAGTCACCTCCAGAATATACGCTATTGCAAAATATATATTTAATGGACTGTTGGGGTAGAGAGGGTACATTAAGCGGGAAGTTCTTCACACTAACAATGACAATGTTTAAACATGATAGATTGCATGTATTTGTCTCCAGGCCTCATAACATCACCCCCTCCCCAAGAGGGCGCGCCCCACACTTTGGGAACCACTGGTCTGGTGACTCGAAATAAACGCCATTGCATAAATGTTGTGTGAATTAACACCAGCAAAGTTTCCAAAGTACCCTGATAACGTATGTCACCTGTTCATCACTTTCATCTAGTGTCGAGTTCCCCAAATTGTTGCAGGACAACACACATACCGATCCCCATCAAATAAACTTTAGCGGTGGACACAATCAAATAAAAACTATTAAATAATTCCGTTGTTAGGAACTATTGAATGATTCGAATATTTATAAAACAATCGAATCATTTTAGTCGGGCAGCAAATAATTTTATTAACTTATTAATTCGGAAGACAGTCAAAGAACACGTGGGATCCTTCTATTATTGTCCGGACGTCTGTTTCATTACAATTGGGGGGTGGACATATTTATTTATTTTATTTTTATATTACACCTAACATGTGAACACAGTGTACGCCTAATAGAGACGGAATAAATTGCAAAAGCAAACACCAAGCATTATAATTTAAATACGACTATAGAAAGAAAGAATAATTACGAAATGTGCAAAAAATGAGATGGTTTCTGAGAAATTATCTCATTAGTTGACAGGTTTGAATTACGTAGATAGCGTGTAGTCGAATATTTCCATTCGATTGTTATTCGAATGCTTTCATTCGATTGCCGCTATTCGAATAAAAATCGAATAAATCGATAGTACAAACCATCATTCTATTGTGCCCATCACTAGTCACCTCCAGAATATACGCTATTGCAAAATATATATTTAATGGACTGTTGGGGTAGAGAGGGTACATTAAGCGGGAAGTTCTTCACACTAACAATGACAATGTTTAAACATGATAGATTGCATGTATTTGTCTCCAGGCCTCATAACATCAGCAGTGGATATCGCGGGTCTGTTTTCGTCCTTCCTGATATCGTATTTGGGAAACAGAGGTCACAAGACTCGGTGGGTCGCCAGCGGGACACTTCTGGTTGGTTTGTCCTGCTTTATGCGGCTAGTTCCCCATCTCATATTCGGCCCCGGGCAAGACGCTCTCGAGCTGACTGAAGAATATGGCACCTCTCACCACACAGCCGTTGGAAATTTTAGTAGTATCAATGGTAAGTCCTGCATGAAAGTTTATTTTGTAGGAACTTATATCCATAACCTATTAGGTTCTTTATGACAGGTGTTGCATGTTGACAACACAGGTCAGTGCACGGTTCTTGTCATCCATCGATCAGAAATGACATCGATCACCACATCCTCTACCACAACACCCATCTCCAATCTCATCTTCCCATTCTTTCTCCATCATTACCAAGATGACCTCAAAATCATAACATTTTCATCTCCACAATAGCAATTATCAACATAATAACCATTAGCTACATTGCAATTAAACAGATTCTGGAGGACATAACCATGAGTTATTCAATCTAACGGTTTCTGATCATAGTATTAATGATTCCTGGACTTGGTCATTGTTTAGTATTCTGAAAAGAATGTGTTTCAGAAACGGGGCCTGTTTCCATCCTTATGTGATAAGGTGAGGAGTATCTACTTGGGTTCACTAGAAAGACCTATCAAAATTCATTATTATAAAAAACAGAAGCGCAATGTGCTTCACCAAGTCCAACACTATTACCTCTACCAAATCCTTCACCATAATCTGTACCACTCTTAACATCAGCCAAATTCATACATACCCATATATAATCAATCTGCATGAACTCTTATCAGTTCCACAGTTTCCACTACCAGATCCAGCAAATGCACCACTGCAGTCTTAACCAATTTAATTACCTCCTTTTAAATGAACGCCATAAACTGAAACAGACACATCAATGAATTTTCAATGAATCCCATCAGACCTGTTAGTAAAACTGCAATTGAAAAACCATGGGCATTCAAATACATCACTATCTCTACAAATTCCACCGCCATATCTCCAGTAAAGTGACCACTACTACTAAAAGCTCCAAAAATTGAACACTACATCTATAATAGATTCTTCTCGGGCTACCAGCCATGTAAGGTAGCTTAATGAAGAATGTTTTCTTCATTAAGCCACCTTACGTGGCTGGCAGCCAGCTGTCACAGTGGCCGCGCGGTCTGAGGCGTGGGCCTTGTGCCGCTCAGACACTGGGACTGTGGGTTCGAATCTTAATCAAGGCGTGGATGTTTGTCCGTGTCATTCTGTGTTGTGCTGTCCTGTGTACAGGTAGAGGATGTGTACAGGTTGAGGCCTTGCGACAAGCTGATCACTCGACCAAGGAGTCCTACGAAATGTCTAACAGATCAAGCAAACTGCCAAAGAGAGGGGAAAAAAAAGCAGACCCTGCCAAAGTGGGACAAATGCTAAAGAAAAACACAGCTGTTAGCCCAAGTAGAATTTATTATACTTAATCACTGTGAAAGCTTTAGATTTTGAACACTACATCATCCACCAAATCAACCACTTCAACATCATCATCTTCTACCCGATCCAACACTACTGCGTCTGTGAAATTTACCACAGTCACCAACCACCACTCACCAAATTCACATGTCATCGCAATTATAATGAGGATATGTGTGGTTGTATCTACATTTGTATTAAAATCAGGCAGCATGTCTAGATGTTATTAGGCATATTTGTGACATATAATGTATTACTTGCATTGTTGTACAGAAGACTCCCAAGCCTTCGTGTGCAGGAGTGAGTATGAGGATGAGGAAGATTGCTCCGTGGACAGCTTATCCTCCATCCCATCTATAATCTTCTTTGTCTCATTCTTAATACATGGGATAGGAACCTGCGCGTACTACAACCTGGGTATGTCTTACCTTGATGACAACATCCGCAAGAACAAGACGCCAATCCTGCTGGGTAATGTACACAGTATGACACTGTTTGATTGTGTGCAGGATGAAAGTTGAGAAATGCTAACAGCTGTTCAACTCACAATCTTATATTTTCTTGTTTCCTATTTCATACAGAAATTATACTAAAATGTACTGCGAAAGATATCACAGAAATAAACACAATGTAAACTTAGTGCATGTTAATATTTCAACAACAGATTACGTGACAAAACCATAAAATATATAAATGTGCTTTGAAAATATGTCAAAGCTTAAATGCATGGAACAAATCAAAATTATGTTTATAATCCAATCAGAATAAATTAAATTTAGGAAATACTTGCTAGTGTTAATTTAATAATCTGTGTAAGATTTGAGGTTTTCACAGCGGTGAGTATGAAGATTTCTGTCTTCTGGGTTGTTGCGCTGTGTAGTCTGGTCGATGTTTACCAACGTTTCAGAGGTCATACTGCCTCCGTCATCAGTGCACCAATCCAGAAGACAGAAATCTTTATTAATCTGTGTCTTCTCATACTCTGTCAAAAATTAGAGAGAACTGTAATTTTACCTAAAGACTAGGGTGGCCTTTCTTCCTTTTTACCCATTTCTATTTGTCACCCGCCATATAAGCAACCCACATTCCCACCCTATCTCATTTTTACCCTTAAGATTAAGATTATACACATCTACAAGACTATGCAGCTTTACAATCAAAAACTCCACATTCCACATTTTGTCAAATGTGAAAATCTCATCTTTTGTATGAATGACAAAACATTTGCAAGCAACTAAAGCTCTTATCCCATATCCAATCAGAAATAAGTCCACCAAGAGTGATGCATTATCACTCACTATTTATTAAGAATGTGCAGTAGTGAGATTTGTGGTTATCACTGTGGCGAGTATTAAGATGACTGTCTTCAGGGTTGTTGCAATGCGTAGTCTGGTAGAACACTGGTAAACAGATATCTTTAAATGTGCAATAGTACTTAATTGTTTTCCTTCGCAGCTATATGGCAGTGTATACGGATGTTGGGGCCTACCATAGGGTACCTATATGGGTCATACGCTCTTCAAAAGTATGTGGCTGTGTCTGTTCACCCAACAATAACAATTGATGATCCACGATGGATAGGAGCCTGGTGGCATGGTAAAACTGACTTTTGTTAAAACATGTCTAAGAACAACTGATATAATATTAGTCTTTCTCATACTTCTGTTTTAAGTGATAAACTGTCCACAAAGCAAATTAGAAACCCTGTACATATGAATAATTTAGTATAAATACAAGTTTGATTAATAAAGTACAGGAACAAAGATAGTCATAATCTGTGTCCAAGATTGCAGATTATGTGCAGAAGTAAGGTTGCTCCACACATATGCCACCAGTAGTTGGAATAGTTGTAAGAATGGAATAGATCTTATAATCATTTGTTTAGCATGGGGCCCATTTGGTGTGATGTGCCTCATACTGGCCCTGATGTTTGCGCTGTTCCCAAAGAAATTGCCCCGGGCAGCCCAGAGGACAATGGCGGAAGTCGCAGAAGGGAAACTCACAAACAGGACCACTGGAATATCATTCTTTGGTAAATAGCAAGTCTTTGTTCATTGTAGTGATCCACGTATTTCCAGCTTCACCAGCCCAGATGTTTGTAGTTGTCCTGTCTGCACTCCCAAACAACATTGTCTCCTGTCAATGGTTGGATTTGGGCCCTTTCTGCAGCTGAACATGTAGAATTCTTTCTTTTTACATCACTAAATATATTTTGTCAGGGTACTGTACCATACGCAGACTGGAGGGGAATGGGTATGTTTTATCTGAGAAAGATGTATGCAGTAGAAATTTCTCCAAACATAATTGACAATCCTCCATCTTATGCCAGTGCTACACATACATACACAATATAGGATTTGTTTTGGTTGTGTTTTGTTTGTTTTTTATATTTATTTACAGGGCTTGAATCTAAGAGGTTGAAGATACAAGACATATTGCTATGAAATTTGGTACTTAGTTTATTTATTAAAAGTAAACAAACAAATTTAATTTTAGTCCACATCTGTCCCCTGCAATACCAACTTTATCGTTAGTACGCTGTTCTCAAACACCCTCAGTCTCAGTAGAATTTTAGATTTTCCTAATGTTAGCTCAGACTTGTGCATTGTGGTCAAGTAATTAGTAATCCTGCTGTGTATCTGGGATGTCCCATATTCAAGTCTCGGCCTGGGTACCAGCCATCCTGATTGAAGTTTTTGTGGATTCCTCAGTCCCTCCAGGAAAATTCTGATATAATGTATTAAATTAGGTTGTAACCACTTCCTTTCATATCCTTCAAATTCACTATATATTCATCATCTTTTATTTGACACAGTATATATTCTGAGCTGTTGACAGTTACATTAAATAAACCATAAATAAATAAGAGTATGCAATCAAAGAATTTTCTGCATGGTGGAACAACCCAGAAGACAGTTCTCTAAACCCCAAGTCCCTGTTCTACATTGCCCAGCCATTTGTGTAATTCTGTTATAGACTTCAAGATGGTGCTTCGTCGTCTGACAAAGAACAAGGTTCTGCTCTTCAATTCCTTTAGCTCAGTTTTCTACATGTTTGGATTAACTGGCTACTGGACGTTCATGCCCAAATACATGGAGACACAGTTCAGGCAGTCTGCTTCCAGATCCAGTCTATTAACAGGTACAGCTTCAGATCCAAACACAAATATATGCTGTCCGCATTAATCTAATGTAGCTCAGAGAGGAATGAGGTAACTGTTTTCTGGTCAAGATTTAAAAGGATCCCACATATTTTTCTTATGTAAATTAGAATATGAAACTTGGCCATCTTTTGACATTTTCTGGATACATTTTGACTATGGTGCTTTGGACATGTTAGCAACTATAAGTTACAAAAATTGTAATATTAGCTTTGCCATGTGTCTCTATACACATGTAATGACTCACAAAGAGCTGAACTAATTTTCATTAAATTTGATTTGGGGAGTTTTACTGCTAACACATTCAAATTTTGGTTAAGATTTAACAATAATAAATACATTACATGAAGATCTACAGTCCACAGACCAGGAGAAAAGCCCTGCTAGGAATTCGATATACGCGCACGCGCAAGATTTCGCTGCGAGTGACAACTCATCCTAAAAGCATTCGTTCCACAACCACTGAACGAGCAACAGACAACAGGCTTTCGTGTGTTCTAATGGGTACAGCTTTAAGATTACCTTACAGTGACACAGTGATTTAATCTAGAATATTATCACAACACCCACAGAACACAGTACAGGCGCACTCAATACACGCTAATCTCAACTGCTTGATGTTTTCAGTCTGAGTGTAGTAGTGTAAAACTCTGATGTATCACACTTCCCACCAATAGCAGCCCTCTAGTCCACTTGATAGTAAACATCCCCCCTGCACCACCCCAGAAATGACTTCACCCGCAGGGCTTTTCTCCTGGTCTCTGGACAATACATGAATTTCTGCATGCATGAATGTCAGTGTGGAAATTTCCAGGCTATCTTGGTTGTCATTACTATTTTGGTCACTATAATTACCTTGTTTATTGTAGTTACCATTGTTTCACATGGAATTCACAACTAGCGATGCAATTACGTGTGGGAGTTCTCCTTAATGATGTTGTCACCTAGCCAGAAAGTTATACACGCCCTGCCCACGCAGAGGTCATTAAACAACTCTGACACCATTCACAGTGGTCTAATTAGTTTTTAGGATGAAATGTCTACTATTTTGGTAACTAATTGCTTTAGGCCGTTCTGCATTATAGCTTTCCTGTTCAGTTTTCAAAATAAAGTAACACCACAATTTCACGCAATTGTGGGACACCTGCATGCTAAGTGTAATGTATATTGTTTTAGGTACAGTGGGTCTAATCTGCTCAGCACTGGGTATCATGGCGTCAGGTGCTGTGATATCAAAGTTCAAACCCAGGCCTCATTATTTGGCAGGTTGGAATGTGATAGTTGAAGCAATGGATGTGATTGGCCACTTCTCTTACAGTTTCTTAAGCTGTACTGTCGATGATCTTCATGGGGATATGAAGCCTGACCATAGGTTAGTTATATTAATAGTAATCTTTTCAGGATGCCTGTGGTGTCTGCACACATTTGGTATAACTGGCAGGCGGATTCACAAATTTAATGTCATTCATGCGGCATGTATTGGGGATACGATTACAGCCGTAAAGTGAAACAGTTTTGATTACAGTTTAAATTTTAAAGTGTTTGTCAAATGTTACTACTTTCAAACATCTCAGTTTGCATCTATAATTTATGTATTTGTGTTTAATTGTAATGCTTTGCAGATGTACAGAAAATTGACATTGCAGTCTTG